GACAGCTCCCACTATCTTTGGGCCTGATTTATCAGATGTAACTGCAGCTGTCATGCTCATACAGAGAAACGTTCAGTGTGAAGTTAGACGATCATTTGCTCTAGCAGCCTTGAATGTGTAATGTGGATTTGTATGCACATTAGAGCTAAAGCACATACACATTTGTACACCTATCTTTGTGAGGACACCCACTGATATATGGCATTCTATAGCCCCTTTTCCTAACCTTAACCATCACAACTTAATACCTAACCCCAGCTTTTACCCTAACCCTCAGCTAAACCTACTGTTAACCTTAGCCCTAAACCAAGTTGTAACCCGCAAAGAACTCTTTGAATGTGTGTTGGAAAGTGAGGACTGGCCTAAATGTCCCCACTCTTATGGCCTAGAACTTGAACTGGTCCTCACACTGTTGGCCATACAAGTGAACACATGCTCCCCACAGCAACTGTGTATGGGTATGTGCACTTTAAATAACCCAGACAGGACAGGACAGGACAGGCTGAGAACACTATGAGTGTACAGTTTGTAGTCTAAAATAATCTGGATTAAACTTCCAGTTAGCTCTAGCAGGATTATGATGTGGTTTCTCAGTTACACCACATTGTCCAGTCAGAGGGATTTGTTTTGGTTCTCTGCTGGCTAAAACATGACTGTATTCATCTCCTACACATACATTTTCCAGTCTGTGACACAAGGCCTTTTCTCTGAGGTAATTGTAATGCCCACAGGTGACTGATAATGAATGAATGCACAATTATATATGTGTTGAGGAGGTACAGGCAGAGACACAAAAACCTTTCCATTACTGTGATTAAGATTATAGCAGTGAACATGGTTTCACGTCAAGAAGCTGGCAAATTAATGTCCCCTCAAGGAAATTTTCAGGAGGCTATTCTGCTTTTAGTGTTTAAAAAAAATCATTTTTGTTCAAATACAGTTGATAGTCTTGTGTGGTTGCTGTTAAACTTTATTTATTTGAGCCTTTGCAATAGATTTAGCTGTTACCTCACGTTATCATCAACAAACAGCTGTGTTTGTTGGTCATTTGGCTGTCATGGTCAAGTTTACGTTAAGAGCAGAGATATCAGGGAACCTTTAGACAGGTTACATAGGACAGTTACACTGAGATGAGCACAGCTGTTCAAGTGAGATTAGCAGGGCAACAAAAGCAAGAGTGTACCCCTCCCCACTCTACTGCATTGGAACTTCAATGTGCTATTATTTACAAAGGTTATCTCCAACTTCCTACGTCAGTGGTTTTTTTTTTTTTGTTTCCCCTTCAAACTCCTTCCACTCCTTCTATAAATTAAGTGGGATGAAAGGACAAAAACACCAGTTTTAGCCAAGCTAACAGTGGGCTCTGGTTGGTCTGTCACTTGGATCCAAAATGAAGAGTACTGTTGTTTGCTATGATCCATGTTTATGGGTCCCAGATTATGTGACTACTGATTTTGGTGTTCCTCTGCATTTATTCTCTCTTTTTGTAATGAAATATTCAAGCAGCTGTTGGATGAGCTAACAGTGAACTCCAAATAATCAACTTAGGATCTATGAGGGGATAACAAAACATGAAAACAAACTCAGGGGGAAACAAATATAGAGGCAGAGATGTCTGAACAACTTTTGCTTGACTGACCAGGACTGAACTGGTTTCTCCACAGTGGTAGTGGAATGAGAAAACAGGAGAAGAGGATAGGACAGCTGAGCAAGAAGTGACTCACACTGCTTGGTGTCATGGTGATCTTATGACTCTTTTCTCCCCCAAGTCTCTCATGTGTCTATATGTCCACTGTTCCCCCTATTCTCCAGGAATCATATAAACAGCTCAGGGTGGAAGACATACCTGTAGCAGAGAACATATTCTGACACTGTAAACACCAGAATGTGGCCTTTACAAAGCCTCAGGATTCCCCTATAGGTACCAGTAATTTACCAATCTGATACCCAGACACCCAGAGTTGTTGTTCTACTAATGGATACTGAGAGGGCTTGTGTATTGTGAGTGACCTGGTTTCGATGGAGGATGACTTAACATGTGAAACAAAGCAATGGAGCGAAATAGAGGAGTGTAAGCTATCATGACCAACACAGCGGAGAGATTAGAACATTCCTTCCTGCTGCAGCAAAGATTCTTATGTAATACGAGCTGCCAGCTTTTTTGCCTTTACATGTGTCAATATCCATGCACACTGAAAAAGAGAAACCATGTTTTACATTTGAAATGCACACATGTGCATTAACTATCATGAATGAATAATATCTTTCTCCAAATGATAATAATAACCAATAAATTACTGCATGTCTCACCTCCACTGTTGCATGATACTCCCCATCTCTCTCATTTCACTACTTTATAGTATAAAAACAAAAATTGGCTAGAAATAATTTTAAAAAATACAATCTTTTAATTAAATTAATTTTTTTTTTATACCAAGGGCTGGATGGGAAGATTGCTACCACTCTCAGGTCTGTATTAAGCTAGTGGTCAGTTAGCTTAGCACAATAATGACTGTAAAGCAGTCATGGCAGACATCTTTACCTACTAAACAATGTGTGCAGTATAGCTACAGATACTGTATTCTCTTTTTTGCTTTCATTTAAATTTTTTCTTGTGTCTTAGTTTACCATTGTCGATACCATGAGTTTTCTTTACTGATACAGGCATTGTTAAAATATGAAATAAAGAATTGATCTGATCACCACAGAGCCCTGCATGTCTGTTGTTCTTTATATTTACTGACTATATGGTTTAAGGCTGGTGGTGTGCTGTGTTAATGATGTGCTGATGTCTTTGAAATATAAAGAGCTGCCCTGACATACAAAACCTTGGCATCAGTGAGTGAATTTAGAGATTTATTCAGTACACTGACTTGAGCACACCTGTGTCCTCCAGTGAAAGACCCAAGTGAAGAGCCTTCCTGTGAATAGACAAAACCTTAGATAAGGCTTTATTCTGTTGTTATCTTTTCATGGATAGATCTAAATCTTTCACTAGCTTTTTGTGGCATCCTATTGACTAACACCCTATCAAAGAAAAAAGAGTTAAACCTTGTGGTAGTGGGAACGGGGCAGGACCCAATAAAGATGTCGGGAGACCGGAGAGTAGCTTCAGAGAATTCTTTATTTCATGCAGCATGGAGAGAAGTCATACACAGCTTTGCAGTCTGCACAGAGTTCTCTGATTAATTGATAAAGGGGCAGTCCCTTTATACCAAAATGATACAATACACATAAAAAAAACTCATAACATTATCTCACAGCTACCACTGCAACATTATAAGTATAAGACCTTGAAACTTGGTGAGAGCTCCACACTTCCTTTTATTCTCGCAATACACATTCATGATGTTCTGCAAATGAATCCTTCTCATAACGCATGGAAATCTTTAAACTATGCAAACTTAACTGATAAGTTGTTCAAAATTAATTAAAGGTGACTGATAAGCAGTGCAAAAATGATTACAGGTCCTGGGACCCTTAGATTTGCACATTTCACATTGTGCCCTTAAAAAAAAAATCATCAGTTTTCTGTGTGAAATGACCTTTTAACATTATGATGTACCAATGTCTGCTATGCTGACATCCACAACCTATACCATATCCTGGCTCAGACTGCAACATTTGTGTAAGATAAGTGCTATGTGTGTCATAATTCAACCTTTTTGTCATGTACTCACTGTTTATGGCATTACTGATGTTACTCAATACTAGCTGGTGTCATTCAACATCTTTTTAACACAAAAACTGACAGTTATAATTTCTACAACTTAAAGATTTGTTGCAGGACTGTAGTGTTCTTGTAATTTTGTCAATCCCCTGGTGTGTGGCTCTGCCTTTAGTGACAGTCACACTGGAAGAAGAGAAGCTCTGTCTCAGCCTGTCTCCACAAGCTTGCACTTCCTGAATTTTTCAGGCTGCTGCTGCTGCTCTCTGGTGGAGACATGCATGTATCCCTATTAGGAGGAACAGTGAAATCATAAAGTCAGAGGGAATTTGTAGCCAAAGGCTGAGCATCTTAGACTAATAATTGCTGTGAAAAAATGTAAATAATTCTTCAGTCACTGGTTCCTTTGTACCTGACTCCAGGGCGACCCAAAGCCCCCAGGTTTGCTACATATCATTTGGCTCTATATAATTTCATTAATCACATTTGGGTCTACCTGATTCGATTAATTGAAAATGGCACCACTGAAGCAGAATATCAACCATGTCAGGTCCTTTCTTGTGAACTCGATTTTGTAGAGGGTCCTTGATCAATTTTTCAATTTTTAAAACCTTGGTTGTTTTAATTTAAACTGAGCTAAAAGTATTTGCTGTTGTGTTTTACTGATTGTTTTAATTTTTTATGTGCATCAAGGAATTCATGACCAAAAACCATCAGGCAAGGTAATGGGTAGTATTATTCCACTGTAGGAGAACTGCAACCATTTTCATTGTAAAAATGTTTGGCAATTAAGTAATTGATTGATGTTTAGTGTATACACTTTCAAAATAAATATTGAGAAATGCCCAATTAAACATAATCTATTTGCTTTATTTTGTCTAACAGACAGTCAAAACAGCAAAGGTGATGAATTTAATATAAAAAAAACAGGTAAATTAACAAATATTCATATTTGAGAAGCACATGCCAATAAAATTTCACCATTTTTTTGCTTAAGAATTTAAAATTGTCAAAATTGTTGCCAATTAATTTCCTGTTAGTGAATTAACTGATTAATTGACTTGCTATTTCAGCTCAAGAGTGTAAACTATGGGGTCAGCAGAATCCCCAAAAAAAAGTCTGTGCCCTGAGGAGGTTAATCCGGCCATGTCTGGAAGGGGCTATTCATTAGTACTTTGTTACAAGTACTGCTACTATACTACTACTAGATTTAACAGTAGTATTACCCGAACATCACATGGTTTCCTGTACCACGCTCGCGTGCTTCTGTACTGTAAGTGTGTGTCTCTTTAAATCCGTCGGTGCTCGTGTCCATGGCGGTGACGTGTCTCTAAAGTTTCTCCTCCTCCCCGCCCGGTGGCTCAGTAGTGAGATTGAGTCTGCTCAGATTTACATACTAAAGAAGTATATAAGTGAGCGATTTGGACATCATGGGCAGTGAGTATCGTTTCACTTCTTGGGTTGTAGGAGACTGATATCTACAGGCCATGTAGCAAAATCCAAAAAAAGCTGTTTTTGATTGTTTTAGACAACTTAGCTTTGTCTGGCACTGATAGCAGGCGGCTAGCTTATGTTGCTAGCTAGCTGGTTGCCAGCTTATTTTGTATTATTATAAACCCTTTCTGGTCAGAAGTAATCTGCTGATTCAGTTAAATATTTAGGCAGTATTTTTGCAACCCGAATTTCTTGATTGTAGCGAGAGCTTACAAGCGCCATGGTGGCTTTTGTTGGCTGGAAACATTTCGTAAGCTAACCTGTTAGCCGTTCATTCAAAGACATTGACAGTGTAGTGATGACGACGCATAACAACCGGTGTAATCTTGAGCCCGCTGGTCCTAAATGATCTAACGTACCTCATGCTATCGGAAATATGTAACAATAATACTGTAAAGGTCTAGCGAAATAGCTGGAAATACCATGATACAGAATGCTTTAATTGACATTAAATCTGGCTGATGTTGGTTGTTGTAAATTCAAATCTGTCTTGGGTCAGTCCCATTTACTGCCACGTCCTACTCGTGACCATCTACTAGTTCCAGTTAACTCAAACGCTAATGTTTGCTTGTTTCCAGTCAAATTCTTGGAGGTGATAAAGCCGTTCTGTGCAGTGTTGCCAGAAATCCAAAAGCCTGAAAGGAAGGTGTGTATTTTTGTGCACAGCGTGTTATTTATATATTTTACACCTACATTTACATATGTCCATAAACAAACCTTTTGCTGGCTTTGCTTGTGCTACCACGTGTTAAACTGTTAAATGTGTTTGACCAATAGATCCAGTTCAGGGAGAAGGTGTTATGGACTGCCATCACTCTCTTCATTTTCCTAGTGTGTTGCCAGGTGAGTGTCACTTTGCCCAGTCAGCTTGTGTGTGATGTTTTTATATAGTATACAGTGATTACTTTGATTAATTGCTGTAAGTAATTACTCTGAATGGATGTGCAAATCTTTATGATTCCAGAATATAATGCGTTGGACTTAGGACACAAGAAACCCTTTCAGATTAAGAGTTTCAAGCATTAAGTCTTTGGTGCATTATGACTGTGGTTAACTTTTCATTTTATAATCAATCATTTTGTTTTTAAAATGTCCTAAGGTTTGACTACTGCCATCATGACTAACTTGTGCCTTAAATTGGCATACTGTTCTGCAGTATCAGCTAACAACTCAAATTGGCATACTGTTCTGCAGTATCAGATAACAACTCAAAGAAGTCAATTTAGGATGATAGAAAAGCATGCAACTCTTTTTTTAAGAAGATGTTTGCTAAAACTTATGTAACCACCTGCAGTGACGTTAGCACTGTGCAATATGAGTATGTTCATAAATTTGTGTGTTTGCACAGTTGTCAAACTATCCATACTGACATACTTTGGATTTGTACAGTGTTACACTCAGTACATTTCATTTACATTAATGTTTTGATAGTTTTGCAAATGAAAGGTTTAAAAATAGGACTCACAGAGTAAGCCTTGTTTTCCACACTTGCTTGTTCACTGAAACAATTAAACTAATGCATAAGTGAAAAATATCTCACGCACTGTGTGAATACTTTTCCTTCAGATCCCACTCTTTGGCATCATGTCCTCTGACTCAGCCGATCCATTTTACTGGATGAGAGTAATTCTGGCCTCAAACAGAGGTATTTGTCTTGCTAATAACTAGTGGCAGACCAATTGATCGGGAGGCCGATTAATTGGAATGATATTTGGCATTTTTAGATAATGCGCCCACAAGACTGATTAACAAAAAAATGTCTGCAGACGTGTCTAAGATGTCTACAGGCAGCCTTGTCTGTTTTTTTGTTTTTTAAGAGGTTTTTTGTTTATTTGTGGACATTTTGTTGCTTTCAAATACTTGAAATAATTAAAATTTTTCATAATTAATTTGTGCTAAATGTTCATTTAAGTCCATTTTTTGTCTCATTTGTTATAATTAAAATATTGTATTTTATTTCATGCAAAAAGAAAAAAAAAACGCTAACATGATATTGGTCATCGGCCTCCCCTCTCTGTAGAGATTGGCATCGGCTAATGAAAAACCCATGTCAGTCGACTGCTGTTAATAACTGAGTAAAATACAAACAAATACATGTCTGCTCTCTCCTGCTTTTATTGCCTAACATGAGCATCATCTCCCTTCAGGTACGCTGATGGAGCTGGGTATCTCACCTATTGTCACCTCAGGCCTGATAATGCAGCTGCTGGCTGGAGCAAAGATCATTGAAGTTGGAGACACACCAAAGGACAGAGCCCTCTTCAATGGAGCTCAGAAATGTAAGTAAACTCTCACCAGACGGTGATTTGCAAACACCTGGTTAGAAATTACAGTGATGTTTTTAGCTTCTCTGATCCTTTAATAATTTTCAGTGTTTGGGATGATCATCACTATTGGCCAGGCCATTGTGTATGTGATGACTGGCATGTATGGAGATCCCTCAGAGATGGGCGCGGGAATCTGTCTGCTCATCATCATTCAGGTGAGAACAGGAAGATTTTCTTAAAATTTGTCACAACCAGCAAAGAATATATCCATTAATTAGGGGCTCAGGAGGTAGATCAGGTTGTCCCCTAATTGTATGGTTAGCAGTTTGGTCCCTGGCTTCTCCAGTGCGCATGCCGGAGGGCGTGCACAAGCAAGACACTGAACACCTAGTTGCTCCCAGTGATGTCGCTGGCGTATGAATGTATGTGTAGAAAAGCACTATATAAGACCATTTACCATGAAACTGGCTTTCAGGATGTACTTAAATGAAAAGATCGTGATGGGAAAACAGAAGAGATTTATATTGTGCAAACTAACAAGATTTTTTTGATGGGCTGTAATTTTCCATGTTTTTTAAAGTGTTGTGTTAGCTTGGATCAGTATCAAATTCTCCAAGTGTTAGTGGTTTATTATCACAGACATATATTGTACCCTACAGTAAAGTGATCATTATCAAACCTATAATTCTCAATGAAGTAAAGGGTGGGATGCTGACTCCACTGTTAAACTGATGGCTTAATGATGAGCAAGAGCTGCACCACAGTCATTTCAGGGAGTCATCTTAAGTCATAAGTCAAGTCATAAAAGCAAAAAATGTACACAACTAATAGGTTTGTTTATATTGAGTTTACTTGCAGCTACAGTTGAATTGGCTTTAAAAGCACATGTTTAATGAAGTTCAGTTATGAAATCAACAGCTTTAGACTACAGGGAAATGTGAAGTTACAGCAAGAGAGTCATGTTCACATGTCCTGCTCAGGACTTCTCCACCCGACTGTGTCTGATGTGTTCTTCCGCAGCTGTTTGTGGCTGGACTGATTGTGCTGTTGCTGGATGAGTTGCTCCAAAAGGGCTATGGTCTTGGTTCAGGGATCTCCCTTTTCATTGCTACCAACATCTGTGAGACTATCGTCTGGAAGGCCTTTAGCCCCACGACCGTGAACACAGGAAGAGGTAAACCGCAAAGTGGTCGGTGAATTCCATCTATAAATGTTGTGCCACAAATGTTGTGGGGTGACTGTGGCTCAGGAGGTAGAGCAGGTTGTCTCCTAAGTGGAGGGTTGACAGTTCGATTCCTGGCTTCTCCAGTCCACATGTCGAAGTGTCCTTGAGCAAGACTGTGAACCCCAAGTTGCTCCTGGTGGCTCTCCCACTGAAGTGTGTGTGTGTGTGTGTGTGTGTGTGAGCACTTTGAGTGAGTGTGCTTATATGCATAGAAAAGCACTATACAAGTCCATTTACCACAGCAGTGTTACCTTTCTGCATATCAAAAGTGTACCTAAATTGTGACGTCTTGTGTTTTAGGCACAGAGTTTGAGGGAGCGATCATTGCTCTCTTCCACCTGCTGGCCACTCGGACAGACAAGGTCCGTGCTCTCAGAGAGGCCTTCTACAGACAGAACCTGCCCAACCTCATGAACCTCATCGCCACAGTATTTGTCTTTGCTGTGGTGATATACTTTCAGGTCAGTCACTGTCCTTTGTGTGAATGCACTCTAAACTGGTTGAGGTCTAAAATGGGGATTTCTAATAGACCGCATGATGAATTTAGGTAATATAAATAGGTCAGTTGTTCATTGTTGTTCTGCACATTCACATGCTCTCACAGGGATTCAGGGTGGATCTGCCCATCAAATCCGCTCGCTACCGTGGCCAGTACAACACCTACCCCATCAAGCTCTTCTATACCTCCAACATTCCCATCATCCTCCAGTCTGCCTTGGTCTCCAACTTGTATGTTATCTCCCAGATGCTTTCCACACGCTTCAGTGGCAATTTCCTGGTTAATCTGCTTGGAACTTGGTCTGTAAGTATGCATCAGTTCACTTTCTCTAAATGTGTCATGAAGCAGATTATCACCATGAAAGGCTCAGTCTTACTGTTACTATACCTGTTTTTGACTTTGGAACTTATGTGTGGGGCTTGATTGACCTTATCTTTATGTTAACATGTTTCTGCGCATTGAAGTATATATTCCTTATTTTCTCATGTTTATAGGACGCAACATCAGGTGGTCCAGCTCGTGCCTACCCTGTCGGTGGACTCTGTTACTACCTCTCTCCCCCAGAGTCTTTTGGTTCTGTTCTAGATGACCCAGTCCACGCCGTCATCTACATTGCCTTCATGCTCGGATCATGTGCCTTTTTCTCCAAAACCTGGATTGAAGTCTCTGGCTCCTCTGCTAAAGACGTAAGTTCTAGCTATGTTTAAGCAGGTGGTGTGTAATGGTGGTTCATTTCCAACAGACTATATTTCAGAGCTCCGTTCTTTACTATAACCCAGGTGGCCAAACAGCTGAAGGAGCAGCAGATGGTAATGAGGGGTCACAGGGAAACTTCAATGGTCCATGAACTGAACAGGTAAAATCAAAAACCTTTTCTTCACACACATCTTTTTTTGCTTTTCATTTACACACCTCATCAGCTGTATAAACAACACATAGAACAAGCTCATCTGTGAGAAAGGATATAAGTTACTGTCAAGAAACATTATCCAGTGTTCTAGTTACTGTCTTGCTACAAAGCAGAATACTCCCATATTATACAATCAAAGCAAGCTTCTTTTTAACTTCTTTTATTGCCATGTGTAACCACTTGGTGCTTTTTGGACTCAGAGTGTTCTTTAGGACAAAAATTGTTTCATGTACTGGACATTTGAAAGTGTGAGATACAGTTCAAGGAAAGAAACTGAGCCTCACACATCCAGACTCCACATCTCATGCTGTCTGGAAAACAATAGGGATTTTTAACCTAGGTTATTGATCTGTAATAGTAAGAATGGCACAGGTGTAGGTGTAAGGAAAAGGAGGATTTTTTTTTTTTAATGAAAGTTATTCATTACTGCTTAAGCATAGATCCCCATCAGTCTGCATGTGGGCGGGGGTGGCTGTGGCTCAGGAGGTAGAGCGGGTCGTTTACTAACCGGAGGATTAGCGGTTCGATTCCAAGGCTTGTCCAGTCAACATGTCGAGGTGTCATTGTGCAAGACACTGAACCCCCAGTTGCTCCCGGTGATGTCACCGGTGTGTGAATGCCTGAGTGCTTGGGAGTGCGAATGGCCGAATAATGTGAAAGCGCTTTGAGTGTGCTGTCAAAGCATAGAAAGGCGCTATACAAGTATAAGACCATTTACCAATGAGAATGCAGTCTATAGGTATAACTAGTATCTAACTGCTTATGTACTTGTGACAAAGTAATCAGAGTTTAATGATTAGTTTACAGGCCTTTTTGAAGCTTTCAACATTTCTTGGCTCATTGGTCTTCAAGATGTCTTGAGATTTTTCTGTCACACATACTGATCCCAGGGTCGAGAATGATCATTAAAGCATATGTCCACATTTTAATCTTTGACACAGACAGAATCCATTTTTGGGTGTTAACATTTTGTTCTTAAATGGCTTTTCCACACAAACAGATATGTTGACTACATTATTGAAGGCACAGAGTTTAAAAAGGCTGGAAATAACTTGCATTTCTTATTGCTAATGTTTTCCTCAGCTGCCTGCAAAACGGTCACTTGGTTGTGCATCTATAATATTCACATTTAGAGAAACAGTTGCTTCTCTTTGCTTTCTCCAGACCAGCTTTTTCTCCTTGTTTGCAGCTTTTATTCTACAGATATGAGTGGCATCAGTTTCCTCATCTAACTCGGCAAGAAAGCAAATAAATCCATTTTCTAAACTATTCTTTTAGTCATTACTCCACAGTCAGGCTGAATGCTTTTTAAACATATGCCATGCTTGCTACATAAAGCATT